GGAATGGCAACTCACCCCAATATTCTTGCCTGGAGAATTCCATGGACAGAGGAGCCTGGCAGGCTACGGTCCATGGGGTCACAAAGAGTTGGACATGACTAACTGACTCTCACACACGCACACATACACACACTTATCTAAATCATGCTGGCATAGATTTTAATCATTGTAAATGTATACATCATATAGAAAGTATGTCTAAAGTATAAGTACTTCTTGGAGGAATTACTACCTTTGAGTTTAGGAAATTAGTGCCACCTGTGACTTATCAGATTCAGGTCCCACATGACAAAGAGGAATTGCTGATTTGTTATTGCATTTTAGACAGTTGTTAATACACCTATTTTACCAGGAAGGGGTAGGAAGAGACTCCCAGATGGCATGAAATTATGCATTTACGAAGTAATTTTAGTCTTTGATTTAGAGGGGAGCATTTTCAGTGCCCTGCTACTGCTCGTCTTGGTCACTCAGGCTGCCACAACAGAGCAGGTAGATTGGGTTACTTAAACAACAGTCACGTAGTTTTCGCAGTCCTGGAGGCTGGGAGATTCCAGAGCAGGATGCTGTAGAGACCTCATTCTGAGGCCCCTTCTCTTGGCTTCTAGGCGCTGCCATCTTGCTTTGTCCTAATATGACTTCTTTGTGGCCAAGATTGGAAGCACAGAGACAGAGCAAGCACTCTTGTGTCTCTCCTAAAGGCACTAATCTCATCACAAGGGCCCCACCCTCATGGCCTTATCTAATTATCTCCTTAGAGGTCCAGCTCCATACACTATCATCTTGAGTCCTGAGGCTTCAAATATGAATTTTAGGGAAATACAAGCTTTCAGTCCATAACGATCTTGACTATGATTTGCAGGTTTTTCTATGAAAGTTAAAGTGTTTTTCCCCCTGGAACATTCCCCTACAGCATTCCTTAAGCTGATAGATGGGGAAGTCTGGCAGATGTAGGAAGTGCCATTTAACTGAAGTGGTCTTACATGTAACTTTAAAAAAGCATTTACCTCCATGGGATAAGGATTAGAACAGGATTAATGAGTAGTCAGGCAAGGAATGAGCTTGGCCTGAGTGGACTCTTTTTCTATTCGTGGTTTTTATCTATAATATCTGTCATCTCTGGTATTCATATTGGATATATATTCTGAAATGCTGAGTAAAACAGAGAGTGTGGCATATCATATTTTTCAGAATAAAGACTGAAACCAAGACCATCCTATAATCCTATATAACAGATGATCTGCATAACAGCCAGAAGAGCTGGATCAGGCGAAAAGACGGAGTTCTGTGTTTATGTACAGATTCCAGAATAAGACAGACACCCCCTTTTGTTTCAAGCCTCTGATAGTATGATCCTTCCTTGTTCAGTTAGAATCTCACATTATAATATATCACACACCCAGCCCACTTTTGACTTTCAAGATAACTACATGCAGAATTAGACTTTGTCTGTTGGGACTACCAGATCAATTACTTTGACTTCATTGCCTGGTCAATTCAGTCAAATAACTGGCTTAAGTGATTTTTTTTTTCCTGCTGAATTTACCAGGTAACTTCATTTAGTGCATAGCTGTTGAGCTACCACTATGACCAAGGGCTATACTAGGCACATCGGTGGGGGAACAAGGGGATACACAGGATTAGAAGGCACGGTCCCAGTCTGTGTATTGGTTCACAATACAAAGCTAATTCAGAATGAGAGTCGGTGCTCAGGACCCGGCATGAACAGGTTTTGTCATTGGTTGTTTTGTTTCAGTAGATGGTCACTGAGTGCTCTAGCAATTGCAGAATACCACGTGGGCTTCCACAAGAGTTGAGCAGAGCGGAGGGAGGAGAGCATGCCAGTGGGGAAGGGGGGTAGTGGAGAAGCATTAGCAAAATACTGCGATTGAAAAGGAATGAGTTTTAGGGACCAGCTTTGAAATTAGTCTGGCCTCAGGAGCATGGGCGTGCAGATGACAGAGTGATAAATTAGCGAAACTAGATTATGGAGGGTCTGGAATCTCCAACCGAGGAGTTTAAGACTTTTCTAAGCACCGGACCCACTGAGGTTTTTAAGCAGGTTAACCATGAAATAGAGCTGGCGCTCTGGGAAGATTTCTCTAGCAGTGTTGCACCAAAGAGGCTGTTGATGGGAGAGACAAGATTTCTCTTCTTCCCCTGTTGCCTGGGCGACTCCTTTCTGTTATCACGCTCACAACCCACCCGCTTGTGCTCTGTGGATACTCTGAGGGTCACCACAGAGCCCTGACCTCAGAGCAATAGCTGTGTCCCCGTTCTGAGGCCCTGGCCTCAGACTGCCAGGCACTGAGGACAGGCATCCCTCAAATGCACACACCGACGTCTCTACCGACTGTTGGGTGGTCCAGCCTCCGTGGAAGGCAGTGGACAGCACTGTGATATATCTTTGGTCCGCTTCATTCCCTGTTACCCTATAGCTTCTTTTCTTAACCTCATACTTTACCACTTCGCCCCCTGTAAGAAGTTTGCCAATTTCCCCAAATTCACAAGGTCATTTGCTGAGCAGGAGGAAGGGTGGTATATGACTAAGCCTTTTACTTGAAACCAGTGACCAGCAGGTTGATCTCGTTTTCTTTGTTTCTATTTCTCTGGTGAGAAGAAGCATCTGTTATAACTGTAATATGTCACATGCAGGACTAGATGTTTTTGCATCTTGTTAGCTGATTCATTCTTCTCATCAACCCAGTGAAGTCAGTATTCTAATGCAGCCCTTTTAGAGACATTATTCTGCTGTTTACTACAGTCGCTCTCTGTCACAACTTTATCTGCCCAGCAGTGGGTGACCGTGCACTCCATATCTTCATTCAGACTACTGTTGATACAGAATAAAGCAGAGCGAAGGTCCATGTCTTATAATATACCACTAGAAACCTCTCTCGGGGATGCAGTCTAGCCAGTTATCCAAAGCTGCTGAGTTTAGCCATGTTACCAGTCCATTTACCCAGTTAAGCGCAGGGTCGTCCGGCCACTCCCCATCTGTTTTCTCCTAAAAGACGGTACTCTGCTACCCCGAATCCTCACTGAACTTCCCTGGACCTGATTTCCGCCCTGTAGATTGCTGCGTCACAGGCTTACAGGGATGTGCTGGGCAGATGCGGAAGGACCTGAGGTAGCACAGGGCAGCCCGCCTCCACCTTCGATCCTCGTCCCGTCCTTCCTCCTCCTTGCGTGCGTCCCCAGCGGGGCCGGGCCACCCTGGAAGCAGACACCCCTGCTCCCCGGCCGACTGCTAAGGGGTCTTTCCAACCTCAGCATCCTGTGATTTTACTCACTTCAGGAAAGCTGATTTAGGTTTGTTTAGAATTAGTCAGTTAACATACCACTTTGCATTTCATTGTCATTAACACCCATTCATCCACATTGATGAAACATCCTAGAGTATCTGAAATCAGTTTGGAGTTTGAAGTTTTTAAAACAGCCTAATCGTGATCTGAACTTTACAATAATTTTGCAAGCAGTCTAGCCCGACACTATTCACGTGGTGAACATTTCTTTTCCTGAATTCTCAATAGCAAAGCTCAGTCCAGAAGAGAAACTGCCTCCCTGCGGAGCCGCTCTCTCTGTCCAGCCCCCTGGGCTCCCCAGGGCCTCAGGGTTGTCCTTGGGGGAGATGCGCCCCCCAGCGGGTCCCCTCTGGTTATTGTTCAGTAGGTGTGTCGGTTCTTAGCTCACATCTGTCTTTTTTGTGGTGAACATCAAAGGAAGCTCTCCATCGTCCTCTGCTCTGAGTTTCTCCTCTGTGTCTGCCCGCGCGGTTTAGAAAAAGTAGAAACACGTACAGTACCAGTCAAAGATTAAAGCAATGTAACAGTTGCAACAAAATGCGCAGAATTTTCTATAATCAGTTTACTTTCTTGTAACAGTGATGGGAATGCCTAAGTGATGCCTCTTTATTTTCAACTAGAAGTTAATATAATGATTCATAGATTAATTACAGAGATACTTATAAACTTCTTACAAATTTTTAGTAAAGGTAAGTCAGTTGACCCATGAAGCACAAAAACTTATTTGATTGGAGCAGGACAGATCTTAATATAATTTCATACAGATATTTAAATATCAATGTTATTTGGCTAGAGAGAGAAGCCCTTAACAGATCTCTTAATGAGTAACAAAATACACCCTATGTATAGTTGATGTGTGGCTCACATACCACGTTTTAATGAAAAGTCTTAATACTTTCCACAGTAGTCTATGAAGGTTCCAAACAGAAAAATATTATTTTTTATGCTTAGGAGTGGCAAAGGAATATATAGCACTACTATCCTATAAGGAGATAGATTTATTTCTTCATGTACATATTCTTGTATATAGCCTGGACTATATCCATGTGTATGTGTATAATGCTATGTGTATGTTCTTTATAGAGAGAGAATAAGTGTCAACACAATTTTTTGCAACAATACTGAATAACTGTTGGAAGAACATGCTAATTAGTAACTTATTCTGAGAATGTTGAGTGTGGGGTAAACTGGCACAACTGAGGATATATTAATACAAACTAAAAAATAATTTTGTCATTTTCAGTTCTTCTGATAATTTAATGGACAGGAGTGAGTTTTGCTTCCTCTCAGATATAGGCCTTAAATACAGCCTTTTAACTTGGCCTTATATTACCTTTAACTTTTTCAAGGAAAAAAAAAAAATGAAAATGCCCTTCGCAATATTCTTTCTTCCCTGACTCCGAGCTCAGTGATATGTATGCAGAGCTAGTTCCTGATAATTTGTTAACAAGGCGTCTTTAACATTTTGGACAGATGCACATACTGTTTTCAATCTTCACGGTTAATTATTAGATTTTGTATTTGATGCCAGAACACCCTGACTTCTAATCACCACTCATTGTTGCAAGTCCATTATATTCTAACTGTTTGAGTGCTCCCATTGACCTTGAACTGACATTATAAGCTGTGTCTAATCTTTTCAGTCTATATTTCTAATGCTTCTTTTCTCTTTTCCCTTTTTTTCTGATCCCTGTTTAGCATCACAACGGGGCTGCCTTTGAGCCCTGCCGCCGACTCCGCCCGCTCCGCTCGGCATGCCCTCTCCCTCATTGCCACGGCCAGACCACCCGCCTTCATCACCACCATCGCCAAAGAGGTGCGAGCAACTCCTCAGTAGGCTCCATCTCCTCATTTAGAGGAATGAGTTCACGTTGTCAGCCGAGGTTCCATATGCATAGATAATCCTTCCAGTTTGTTCTAGAACAACGCGAGTTAATAATTTCTCACTGGGATGAAGACATATGTACCTGTGTGCCCACATGCTGAACTCCATGGCAGTGCATTCATTCATTACTTGCGCTTTTGCATTCATTTCTGTTCTCAAAGTTAATTCACTTGTAAATATTTGCCAGCAATTTCTCAATCTGAAATATAGCAGGCTGGTTCAAATTAAAAATCTATTAAAGGTATCCATGTTATCTACCTGTAATCAAAACTGAACTTATTTAACACTGGCTCTCCAACTGTAAACAAAAATGTAAGTCATAAACTTGCTAATTGTTTTTCCTATGGCATGTCACAGATAAAGACTTGAATGCTAATTGATTCCCACATTCTTAGTGTTCTAACTAATTGGCTACATCTAACTGAAAAACTAGTAAAGAACAATGAACCAATTATAGAATCTTTCCTGTAGGTCTTAGTAGTAGGAGAGAAGGCAAGGGAGATAAGCTCCTAAATTTTCTTTAAAGGTTTCTTCCATTTCAGCATGAGTAATGTGCAGACTTGGTGTCTGCGGGGCATGGCCTCTGCCTGAGTTCTTTTTCCTGTAGCTATGATGAATTTTTAAAAAGGTAAATAAATACCTCTGAGCCTGCCCTGATAGCCTACAACCTATTGGGCCTATGTCTGCCCCAGAGCCATCCTTAATAGGCGTGCAACAAAACTTTCTGATGTGAATATAGCTAGAAGGGAGGAAGGTAGGGCCTAATAGCAGATTGAATTTCTGTGAGGCAGTGAGACTCTGAATTCACATCTAAAATGGATTCGCAGACTGAGGGGCTTTGTTTTCTAATAGTGCATAGTGTTACAGTGAGAGTCCACTGTATTTAAAATATATATGTCTATATTTTATGAATAGTATATGTTTTTATAAAGTATATATATGTATACATGAACAGATTTATTAGACCTGGGATTTTTTTTAAACCAGTGTTTCATATCAGTGGAATATGCAGAGATAATAATATTGACTATACTAAATAAGCCTTACGTCAGTCCAACCCAGATACAAGTCCTATAAATACCAGACCTTAAACTGCCTCTTTAAAGAGAATAAGCAAGTATTCTATATTAATTGTGTTTTTGAACTTAATTTTCACCATTTACATATGAGTCTTTTTATTTTATTTTTTTAAACGTTTTACTTTATATTGGCGTCTGGCTGATTAGCAATGTCGTGATATGTTCATAGTGTGGAAATGGTATCCAGACTGAGGGAGCGTTAGTCGGGAGCATGTACGCTCAGTTACTCAGTCGTGTCTGACTCTTTTGCGACCCCAGGGATTGTAGGCCTCCAGGCTCCTCTGTCCCTGGGATTTTCCCAGCAAGGGTACTGGAGTGGGTTGCCATTTCCTCATCGATAATTCACCTGCTAATGCAGGAGACACAAGTTCCATCCCTGGGTTTGGACGATCCCTGGATAAGGAATTGGCAACACACTCCAATACTCTGGCCTGGGAAATCCCAGGGACAGGGGAGCCTGGCAGGTCCAGCTCATGGGGTTGCAAAAAGAGTCTGGCGGGACTTAGCGACTGAACAGCAACGACAGTCCTCTAATTGCTACCCACCTCAATGCCAAATATACAAAATTCGCAGAACTTCAGTTTGTCTCTTTTTAGAAATGTCATGATCAGTTAAAGTCTCATATAATACCCAGGAACTAAAATTCCATTAGGAAATACATGTATTTATTGTACTAAGTACTTTCTTTTGCAATTAAAAGTGTCTCCTGACCCACCCGCAAGACGTTTGTTCTCGTTGACTTTTCTTTCTGTTGTATTAGTAAGTGAAAAATAACCAGCAGCTGGAAGTGTAAAGTCTGTGAGGCAGCGACCTAATCCACAGCCTGGAAATGTTTTCTAGGTGCATAGACACACTGCTCTCGCCGCAAACACCCAGTCTCAGCAGAACATGCACACCACCACTCTTGCCCGAGCGAAAGGGGAAATTCTGAGAGTCATTGAAATTCTTATTGAAAAGATGCCCACAGATGTCGTGGATCTTCTCGTAGAGGTAAGAATATTCTGTTGTTGGTTTTTTTTTTTCCTTTTAAATATTTGTTTAATTGCACCAGCTCTTAGTTACAGCACATGGGTTCTTTAGTCACAGCATGTGGGATCTGGTTCCTGACCAGGGATGGAACCCAGGCCCCCTGCATTGGGAGCATGGAGTCCTAACCACTGGACCACCAGGGAAGTCCTAAGAATATTCTGTTTTATATGATACATCCATAGCCTAAATTAAGTATTCTAGTGTAGTAATATAAATCAGCGTCTTTATTTCCAACACCTCTAAAAGAAAGAAAGGTAACTAAAGTGAATGAACTTTTGTATAATTTCTGAAGGGGTTTATTTAAATTTCCTCAAGAATCAAAATAACTGTTATGTCCATTTACCAGTCACATGAAATTAGTCTGTTTTAGAGTAATTTTTAAAGGTTATAGTCTCTTTGGTATCTTTCATTATAAATAGAACATAGAGTGTGCTTGAATAAAAGCTACCTATCCTATATATAAAAACATGAAATGCCTTTCAAGTAAAGAAGTCTGGTTTCTTTATTTTACTGTGTGCTCTCTTTAAAAAATGGTTTTCACAGATAAGAGAAAGGATAGCCTATTGTATAAGGTAAGTATACTATAATTTTAAAGTAAATATGAAAATAAAATTATGAGAATATTCATGGAAATGAGGCCTAAGTTAATAATTTAAATTATGGAAAATTACGTATTTGAAACTAATTTTAAATTTGTATCTTTTCTGTACAGGTTATGGACATCATTATGTACTGCCTCGAAGGGTCTTTAGTTAAAAAGAAAGGTCTTCAGGAATGTTTTCCAGCCATCTGCAGGTAAAGAAGCCCTCTATAGCATGCAAAGTAAAAGAGGTTTTAGTAACAAATAATTTAAAACTGTGTTTTGAGCAGGATGAGTTAGTGATTGTAGCCAATTAGAAACTCTGTTATGAATTAATATCTGCTTACTTTCTAAAACAGTTTAATCAGCTTATACTAAGAAAACACAACTATAATAGAACCACTACTTGAAACTGGGTTGTGAAGAGGTTTTCTCAAAACTGAAAAAAAAGAGTAAAAGATAGCATCTATTAACTATGTCTGTTCCTATATCCATTACCAGAATTAGCTTGTATATTACAAAAAGAAGAGTTAGGAAGCTTGAAGGAGAAGATACACTTTTCAGCAATAGAAATCTTTATGCCACCTTTTTCATAGTATATTTTTATTTTTAATATAAAAGCCAGTATTTGCATATTCTCCTACTAAGCATAGGTGATTTCCCTATGAGAACAAGAGCAGTTCAAAGAAGCCAAGAGCAGTTAACACGTTTATAAACAAGGTTGCATAGGTGACATATAATCCTGATCATTTGTACGTGTGTGCACGCATGCTGTCGGTTCGGTCCTTTCTGACTCTTCGCACCCCTGTGGCCCATAGCCCACCAGGCTCCTGTGTCCGGGGGACTCTCCAGGCAGGGGTGCTGGAGTGGGTTGCCATGCCCTCCTCAGGGGATCTTCCCGACCCAGGGATGGAACCCACATCTCTTACGTCTCCTGTGCTGGCAGGCAGGTTCTTTACCACTAGCACCACCTGGGAAGCTCCTTGTATGTGTAGAGCATTTATTGTTAGGAAATGAAGATTTTTTTTCTAAATGTCAAAATGTAGTCACATGTTTATTTTCCTTTTAAAGTAGTTTTTGGTTCTCAAAATGTTTATAGCTTGAGATACACTTTTGTTAAAAAAAATTTTTTACCTCCATGTGTTCAGTAGAAAGAGTGTTAATGTCTGTTGAAGTTGTTTTAGCGGTTGTTTTTATATAAAACAGAAGGACCAGTTAGGCATAGTTATGTAACATTTTTCCAGATAAGTGCAGTGATATCCTTACTGAACGTTTGTTCAGTTCAGCGAGTGTACTGCACTGGAAAGCCTTGAGTTTGCAGTGGCATTACGCAGTGCATCGTTATGCCTTTTATATTTCCTGGCATTTCAACACATGTTTGCTGAATTAGTTGCACTCTGCATCCTTCCATATCTTCCTTCATATTTACAATAGATTTTATATCCTAGTCTCTTCATTTTGCTGTTTCTGATATATGCCACCCAGGGGTTGAATCATGAACACATGGAAAAAGCTTATCTAATATGCATGTTGTACAGATGCATATATAGATTAGGCATGTTAGAATACAGTAATTTTGTAACATTATGCCACATTTAATTCTGGTTTATGTTCTTTTTATTGAAAACTATATAAAATGTTTTTTGTATAATTAATTGATGTTAAAAATACGTGTAGTCTTTAGGTTCCCAGTCGACTGTTCTCTTAAGAAAATGTCTAAACAAAAAATGGACATTTATCTGTCACTTAGTGGAAGCAAGGAAGCAGTTTTATCAGAAATTATCTACTGAAGGTTAGCAAAGCATTCCTTGTAACACCAGTGTCTACTGTGAAAATAAGCCTCCTGGATCTAAGGCTAGCAAATCATTCAGCGTTTAAAGGGCCTATATCTTCCCTTGCCGAAAATCTGTCTCCTCCGGCATCCTCAGCTGCTGGAGTCCCTTTAATTGCTGCCAGTCCACTTTTGTTTGCAGTTGTTTAATCACTGGAGAGGAAAGTTTCTGCCTGAATGCTAAAGAAACATATGTAAGCTGAATGTTACTTTTTTTCTGATCTGGCCAAAAGCAATTGTATCTTATTAATTTGATGCCATTTATTGAACACCTGCTGTGCATCAGGTGCTACCTGGGCCCTGGGAGTAACCGGGGTGGGGGGTGAGACGCCCTCGTCAAGGAGCGCAGGGTCTAGTGGGGCGGGGGGTCAGAGGACGGACACTGCCAGGGGTGCTGCGCTGTGTGCCCCACCAGGGCAGGGCTGGGCGGCAAACACAGCGCTGCAGTCTGGATGTGGAGTCTTGCAACGGTCACAGTGAAGGAGCCGGATAAGAACAGTAATCACGAGGGAGTCTTAGGAAGTTTCACAAAGGAGAAGACAGACTAATAATGTCAATTTTCTCGTGGAAGTGAAATCACTCAGTCGTGTCAGACTCTTTGTGACCTCATGGGCTATATAGTCCATGGAATTCTCCAGGCCAGAATACTAGAGTGGGTAGCCTTTCCCTTCTCCAGGGAATCTTCCCAAGCCAGGAATCAAACCCAGGTCTCCCGCGTTGCAGTCGGATTCCTTACCAGCTGAGCCACAATGGAAGCCCAAGAATACTGGAGTGGGTAGCCTATCCCTTCTCCAGGGCATCTTCCTGACCCAGGAATTGAACCTGGGTCTTCTGCATTGCAGGCAGATTCTTTACCAACTGAACTATCAGGGAAGCCCCAATTTCCTTTAAATGATGGAGAAAAATATTTTAATAAAAATAGCTGCCAGCAGAGACACAGATATAAAGAACAGACTTTGGGATTCAGTGGGAGAAGGAGAGGGTGGGATGACTTGAGAGAATGGCATTGAAATATATACGTGATCATATGTAAAATGGATAACCAGTACAAGTTTGATGTGTGAAGTGGGGCACCCAAAGCCCGTGCCCTCTGACAACTGGGAGGGATTTGGTGGGGAGAGAGGACGGTGGGGGTTCATAACGGAGGGGGCACATACAAGCCTACGGCCAGTTCATACTGATGTATGGCAGAAACCATCACAGTATCACAAAGTAATTATCCTTCAATTAAAATAAATAATTTTTTTAAAAAGTGGCTGCCAAGCAAAGAAAAGGATTTGTCCTCCGCAGGGGCTTAGGGTGGTGTTGGAAGGAGTAGTGGCAGGTTTTAGAAAAACTTCACCAAAGAGTTGATGGGGTGAGCTTTGCAGAATAAATTGGTGTGTGTCATCTGGAATTACAGAAAGGATCATACCAACAAATGTTTGGAGGCACAAACGTGTAAGAGAGAATTTGGTGAAGGCTGTGTGGTAGTGACTGGAATGTAGGTTGAGGGTGGAATTCTTGCAACATGCTCCAGGATAGGGCTTTGAATTCTGTATGAAGGGATTCTGCAAGCATTGGAGAGTCAGCCGATTTTAAGCAAACTCTTGCCAGAATATAGGTGATAAGGCGTAATGTTATGAAACAGGATTTTTTTAAAATTGTTTTCATTTTGGAAAATTTCAAACATACACTAAAGTGGAAGGAGTAATGTAATAAATCCCCATGAACTTATCAGTTAGCTTCAAGAATTATCAACACATGGCCAGTCTCGTCTCATTTGTAACATTCTCTTGTCCCCCTCCCTTTTTAATACAGTAGGTCCTTGTTGGTTATTTATTTTAAATACAGCAGGGTGTATATGAAACGGGGGGCTTCCCTGGTGGCTCAGCAGGAAAGAATCCACCTGCCAATGCAGGAGATGAAGGTCCCTGGGTCGGGAAGCTCCCCTGGAGAAGGCAGTGGCAACCCACTCCAGTGTTCTTGCCTGGAGAATCCCATGGACAGAGGAGCCTGGTGGGCTACAGTCCATGTGGTCTCAAAAAGAGTCAGACATGACTTTTGTGACTCAACAACATGTGAAACATAGGATTTGTAACAAATAGTTATAAATTGAAATAATTGACTACCTCTTATTATGTTAGATTTATTATTTATTAGAGTTGTGAAGATATAAGCCCCAAAGGGTCAGTGCATAAACACAGGAAGATGAGTAACAAGATAAGGTTGTAACTTGTACTAAAACTGTTAGTTAGAACAGATAATAAATCATGGAGGACTTCAGAGAATACTAAGCTTAGACGGGACCTCCTTACAGGTCGACACCATGCCACCTACTTAGGCTGATTTGTACTTGATCGATAAATGAACAACAACAAACATGTTAACATATGAACAGAAGTAAAAATTATTTTATTGAATATCTGCCATGTTTGTACCATTGTACTAGGTTCCTTACAGCACTTAGATGCCCTCTATTTACAAGTAAATTCCTTTCACTAAATATGAAACTCTAGTTAAAGTTGATGATGTGAATATCTGTGGTTCAGTCAGGTGAAATTTGTTTTTAAGGTCTTTATGTGATGTTGTATTGTATTCTTCTTGTTTTGTTGGCTTTTTTCCTCTTTCCTCTTTTACCCTTTCTTAAAGATGCAATGCTTACATGCTTAGTCACTAAGCCATGTCAGACTCTTTGCGACCTCAGAGCCTGTAATCCACCTGGCTCCTCTGTCCATGGGGTTTTTCCCAGGCAAAAATACTGGACTGGGTTGCCATTTCCTTCTCCAGGAGATCTTCCGACCCAGGGATTGAACCTGGGTCTTCTACATTGGAAAGTAGATTCTTCATCACTGAAGCCCAAAGATGCTATGTATTTTAGCTTAGGCTAACCTCTATAATGTTGCTACATTACCAATATTTAGTTGTTCCAGTTGGTAGATCATAAAAAGTTATACTTTTCATTTAGTGCATATATATATATATATATATTTTAGTGAGATGATATTTGTCAAAGCACCTATCAGAGTGCTTGTGATTTTGGTATTCAGAGAATATTAATTTCCTGGGGGAGTGTTTTTTCTAGCCAAACAATAATGCGAAAACCCAAAATGTGTGTAAGAAATTTGTTAATATTTATTTTAGAGGATTTTATATGCCTAAAAAGTACAGGATGGCATTATTATCATTTTCATATAGGTAAAAAATTGATTTATTTCCCAAAATATTAAATAATTTTTAGTCAGTGTTATAAAGATGCTTTTCATATCTAAAGTTATATTAATTCCATCAAGAACCAATCTGGTATCCTGAAGTCATTGACTGTTTTTAAATCAAAAGTACTCCCATTCGGGTTATACATATATACTCCTTTCTGAGTAAGATGGATTAGCATCATCAAATGTG